TCTCTCTCTCTCTCTCTCTCTCTCTCTCTCTCTCTCTCTCTCCTCTCTCTTCTCTCTCTTTCTCTTCTGCCATTATTATGATCTGTAAATACGTCGGCCAACCCGTATCTTACGCAATCCGCTTCCCACCACATCGGAGGCACGTCATGTAGATCCATGGTTAACGAGTACTCGTCTCTTTGCATAAAACTTCGAGCGAAAAGTTCTCAACATAAAATTTTCAGCATTTAACTGTGACGCGAAAACGCCGAAAAATATGTACTCGTTACTTGAATATCTTTTGTTGCATGCAATCGATTGATGTCGCCGAAGTATTTTATTTAACAAACGAATAACGAAATATGATCTAGACAGCGCAAACTTTTAAATAACGTCTAAAAGATTAAGAGTAGTATATTCAGTATTTCATTTAAAAAAATCTAAACTTTCTCAAATATCATTAAGACGTCTTTTACAAATTTATGCTGTCTGGAATAACTAAAAAATCATGATGGAAAGTAAATTTCCGAAGCGGATTAATTAAAACGAATCAACGCTTCCCATACAGCATAAATTCCCAAGAGATATCCTAAAGACGTTCAAAGAATATCCTAATGATATGCCCAGCTGTTGAAAATTCGTGCTGTCTGGATTCATTTAGAAACTTTACTGATAATTCGGCTGTTTTCAACAGTACATATTTTAAATCCGAATTCCTTTGCATTTCATATCATATCAAAATCACATGTTCACTTACATGTATATTTGTAATATTTTTTTATTCTATTCTCGCCGTATTTCTACTCCAAAATTTTTGCAGTAACTTCAAAAAGCGCGCGCATTGAACGTAATTGGCGCCACGTCCGCGCGGTGGCGCCAGCGATCGTGCCCGACGTTTGGCGCCAATTAGCGCCCTCTAAACCGTCGAATCCCGGTAATGTCGGTATTGCAGGCCGTCCTGTTACCAGAGATAAATTAATGTCGAACGGACAGCGAGATTAATCGATTGTCACATTAATAATGCATATGGACGATCGCGACGCAATTATTGGCAGACTTCACGGCGAACGATAAAAGTGAAGTTCAGTGTTATCAGCATCTTATACGCGCACTAGTCGTAATCAAAGATATCTTTTATCTCAATTCACTTCGAGGAAAGCCGACTGGCTCATCACAGCCCGCGTTCGTTTTATCGTTGAAAATAGCGCGCGAAAATTACACATCGAACGTTAATTTCCATCTTTGCGAGCCGGAATGCACGGAATACGCTTGGTCGACTGGGCGGTTAGGCTGCAACGAAGATTCAACATGCCGACAATCCATCGGCGATCGTTCGCCGGCCGTAACTCGCTCATCTACGGAGCAGACGTTATGACAGCTCAGAAGAATGGATCGCCGATCGTGGCACTGGAGTCGACGATCATCACGCATGGCATGCCGTACCCGGATAACTTGAACACTGCGCTGCGAGTTGAGGACGCGGTTAAAAAGCAAGTTCGTATGAAATTTTATGATAGTTTTGTTCGTTGAGTGCATTCGAGGAGCATGCTATCAACGCTATCACGTTCTTCTATCTTTATCGCTCCTTAGATACACAACAAAGATAGAATGACACGGTAGCGCTGAATAGCACTAAAAGCGAGCTCCTCGAATGCACTCTATAGGCCTGTTCTTTGTAGCTGCACTACTGAACTAGTGCAATAAGTTAGAGTGAGAAAACGTATATTTGTTTCACTTCAATATATTGCACCAGTTCAGCAGTGCAACTACAAAGAACAGGCCTTATATTTGCTAGCCACGTTCTCGTCTTTTCCCTCTCTTTCTCTTTTGGGGCGCGTTCGAAAACTCCACCCGGATATTTCTCCTCTCTTTTTATCTCATTTCTGTATCTTTCTCACTCCCATACAGCGAGTGCACCCGAAGAGTTTTCGAATGCACGCTTGAAGGTATGTGATATCTCGAGCGCGAAAAGTGCGACTTGTACGAATGATTTCTCCTGCTATAAGAGCTAAGTAACTTCGTAATTGCAATCCTATTACATATCGGACAGATAACTGGCGTGTCTTTACGCCTTTGAATTAATAATGCGCGTATATTCTTGCAGTCACACTTGTGTTCCAAAAATAAACGGACTTTGCACTGTCAATCACCAAGACTTTTTTGTGTTCATTATACATCACTTTGTAAATTATAATAGTTTCTTTCTTGACAAAAAAATTATTCAAGTAAAGGAATTATCCAAAAAGGAATTCGTATTTTATTAATAAAAATTGATAGAAGACCCATTTGTAGAGTTACTCAATATTGTATATTGCTAATTATTAAAGTAATTTTGAGAATTCATCAACTGAACAATTCATGAAGTCACAGCTCATTTCATCAAGTCTCTGACTCATTTGTTTCAGGGTGCAATACCTGCAACAATAGGAATTATAGAAGGAAAAGTATACATTGGCTTGAACAAGAAACAATTAGAGGTTTTGTCCAAAGCAGATCCTGCCAAGACTATAAAATGTTCACGCAGGGATATATCAACCATTGTATCACATACACTGAATGGTGGTACAACTGTCAGCGCCACAATGCTAATTGCACATATAGCGGATATCCCAATCATGGCAACAGGTGGCATTGGAGGTGTTCATAGAGGAGCTGAACTAACTTTTGATGTCAGTACAGATTTAACTGAACTGGGACGTACTCCAGTAGCAGTTGTTTGTTCCGGTGTAAAGTCCATCTTAGATATTGAGAAAACTTTGGAGTATTTGGTAAGTAGATAAGAATATTTTTAGTATTGAAAGCTAACTGTTAATGTTTATCAAAAATTAATATAAAAATATAGAATTGTATAAAATAATTTTTTTCAGTTATATATGTGTGTTAAACTTAAAATTAATAACTCTTAAATTACATGTGAAAACATATAATTGGGAATATATTTCTTAATTAGAAAATTTAGGAGAATCTCTTCATTATTACAAATTGCAAGAAATTCATAAAGACATATGTTGTCTAAGTGATATTTATTTGGATATTGATAATACACAACAGATTTAATTTTCAGGTTTTATTTACATTATCTTCAATAATAATATATGCTATTGTTATTCTACTAAATGGATGTTTCAAAATATAACTGGTATAATCTTTAAACTTTTTTTTATTAATAACTCTTTTATAAGCAATAAAAACCAGCTAAAACCTGAGAATTACTTAAGTCACTGACAATATATGTCTTAACAATATATGTCAAGATTATTGAGAATAAATGTCCTTTAAAATAAATTATTATTCAAAAAAACATTGGTACTCAGAAAGACAAAAGAACTATTCTGTTATTACTTTTGATTCTTCTCATTCTACATTATTAACAGCTTGCGCAATGATTTAAGTATATTTGATGTATTATTTTAACACAAAAAAATTAACAAGTTGAATTTAATGCATTTAAAGTAACTAGTTTAAGTTAGGGGTTCATTTAAAATTAACCAAATTAAGTTAAAAGTTATTAACTTTTGAATGTTTTAACTTAACTTTTAACTGGCTATTTAGTTATTATCCAAACCCTCTGTGCAGAAACTGTGTAGCTCTTGTGGTTGTAGGAAACTCAAGGGGTGCCGGTGGTGAAGATTGGAGAGACATCAGACTTCCCAGCATTTTACTGCACGAAGACTTTGGACGAGGTGAAAGCGCCGTGCAGAGTCTTCAATGCTAAGGAAGCTGCCGATGTCATGGAAGCGCAAAGAGCATTGGGTATTGGCAGCGGAATCTTATTCGCGGTGCCTATTCCGGATGAACACGCGTTGGACCCAGCAGTCATGAGTACCGCCATACGCGAGGCCTTGAAGAAAGCCAGCGACGCATGCATAACCGGCAAACAAGTTACGCCGTTTCTTCTGAAAGAAATCAATGAGATCACACGTGGCCGCTCTTTGGAAGCGAGTGAGTATAGGAAATTAATTAAATCATAGTGTAAAAACGCGCGTAGGTCGCGTCTTGTCACGTAGATTCTCAAATGTTCGCGCTCTTTTGCGCAATTTCGCAGATATAGCCCTCGTGGAAAATAACGCTAAGGTCGCGGCCGAGATCGCCTGGAGTCTTTGCCAGAGGACGTCTCAGGGTGCACTGAATATGGCACCCAGCGCGTCAGCGCGATCGATCACATCCAGGCAAAAACCGGTGAGTACGAGAGGAAATATAAAATTGCTCCCTAAAAACGGATGCTTAGAAAGCGCCGATGATACGAGGGAATCACTTTATATCTACTTATCGTCATGTGCTGACGTACACGCTTCTCAGATATATGTATGTGCAACACAGGTAGCACGATAAAAAAAATATATACCCTCGTTTATAGGTAATAGTTGGCGCCGCCGTTCTCGACACTGTGCTACAAGTGAAGGAGCCCGAAATAAGCGTAAGTCAAGAATCTCACAATCAGAGTTATACTAAATAACCAATTTTTCTTGTATTCATATTACATAATAGTTATAGAACAGTAACAGTATTTATATATACAATTACCACCGTGATCTCCTCTCTCTTTTTCTCTTTATCTCCTTTGTTTTTTTGTTCTTGTTTTTTTTGTTGTTTATGTACACTTAATAATATATCAAATAATGGGAACTCGTAGAGGATAGAGTACGCGGGGAAGAGGTGGGTGTGTACGTTTAACAAACGCTGTATAGAATAGCAAACCTATGAAATACGGCCGTCACAACGTCGTTTACGTGCAACATGTTACGTTACACAAGTATACGGCATATCTAACTTAATTAAATTACAGACGCAAGCTTTGTCGGTACGGTATTTAATACGAGAGGTTATCAACGTAAAACGCATTCTTGAGCTCGCCCTTTCTCTCTCTCCCTTTCTCTCACTCTCTTTCACGCTCTTTCCCTTTCTCTCTTTCTCTTTTTCTCTCGACTGTAGTAACTCGCAACTACGGTATAATTCATCCACTACACAGTCTTCAGATACACTTGTTTCGTCATGTCGTCTTTATACAGTATTAAAATAATCAAAGCCTTTTAGGTGTGCATATTTCTTTTTTTCTTTTTCTCCAGTAGTATATCGTTCTACGATCACTCTATGAAATTGTCTCACTCGTGACATCACACGCGTCGCGCGGAAACACTTCGGCTTCAGTTAATGAGAATGGTCGAGTGGGAAGTTGATTCTTTATGTATGTGTGCGTGTGTGTCGTGTTTGCCACGCGCGTATCTTCAAATAAAATAACTCTGGTTACTTTTGTTAACACATATTTACGCGGATTTTTCCGGCTCTGATGGCTGCTCGGTATCTATAGAGAAGTCGGCTAAGGTGTATAAATTTTCATATCTTTCTTTTCTCTGATAGGTGTACGCGTATCTCTTTCTCCTCTTTCTCTCGTTTCAAAATCACATTCTCAAGCATTGCCATTTCCTGCTGAGCGACTTTCCAATACGTTGAGTGACATGATCGTGCACGAAGTCAGATTGTTCAATACATCGACCGACCGCACGAGTTAGAGTCGATTAGGCAGAATACTTAAGAGAGTCGTTCCGAATTGAATAAGTAAAACCCCGTCATCCACGGGATAGGCTCCCTGTGAAAGTTCACACCCCGTCCGCACAATGTAGTACTCAACGTGTTGGAAACATCGCGTCCAACGTGCAATGTCACGGATGTCTAATTGTTTCGACCGTACCTAAGTTGTTTGAGATATAATAAATTGGATTTTTAAGCAGGCACTATTCAAAGCTCCCTGTCATCCGCTTCTCTTCAAGTATTATATGTATATATGTTACATTTAGATACCGATCAAGTTACAAATCACACTACGCGTTTGAACTTCAGAGTCTTTCTTGCGGTGGGGTTTGTAATAACATCAGGATATATTTCGCTCGAATAAAATATATGTATATATATATATATAAAGGTCTAAAACCTTTCGCCGTTCTTTATCTCTTTTTTCTTCTAGTAAAGACGGTACATCGATACGACAACTGAAGCGGAGTTTAATTTACCCTCGTTCGATCATAGATGTTGATATTAATTCCGTACTAGATTTTCTCTATCTTCTCCCCCCCTTTCTCTCTCTCTCTCTCTCTCTCTTTCTACGAACGTATCCTCTTCTGGACTAATTAATTAAAAAACGATTATAGTCTATCTCCTGTATGTAACATCTTTATATACACTTAATGGCAGAGGCTGTGTGTCTGCGAGGTGTAAGCTTCGACATTATTATTATTATTATTATTATTATTATTAGTTTATTACATTCAACAATGATTCGACAGTCTGATTAAGAAAGAACGGTCGGACTTCTGCACGTTATCGGCAAAGAGAAGAAAAGAAAAACGAAAAAAGAAAGAAAGAAGCAAAGGATTACTCATTTCTCAAGAAAACTCAAGAGCGAACGCCTCGCGGATTCGCGATGTCGCGAGATGACGTTAATCAAAGCATCCTAAGAACATGGAGGCAATCTTCCGTATGATGAATTAATAATTACCCTGTTGTCCAGACTAATGTGATTACGAAGGCGAGCCGATAATTTTGTACGTATTTCTGCGATGCACTTCTACGCATTCGCTGCCGCGTAGCGATAGAGATCTCGCAGGAGTACGTGGCTCTTCTGAACGCGCTCAGCCCTCTCACTGATTCGATTCATCGAGCAGCAAAACACTTCTTTCGCCGTAACGAGCAACAATTCCCTCCCAGGAATACATTGCGGATAATTGTTATCGACGCGCCTTCGCGGAACTTGAAGCACCGGGTCTCGCGAGGCACACGTCTAAATTTCAAATTACGACGGAACAAAAGTTAACTAACGTGTGAGGAGTGTGTGCGTATACGTGGGTTTGTGTGTGTACCTTTCGTCTAGTGGCGTATAATTCAGCGAATATAACTCGGTGTGTCTCGGTTTCTCCTTAAGCAGACGATCGACGCTTTTGGTTATTATCTATCGTATGCCGGTATGTACAGCCTACTATAGTTTTGTATCCGTTATTATTGTATCCCCATTTAAACGTATAACCCCTAATGTCTTTCTTTTAACCCTACCTAGGAAGCCAATTACTCTTGAGTGTTACGTCATGTCGTTTGTTGCTCGTAAGACGAATCGCCATCGGTCGGGAGCGAGGGGAGGCAGACCTTCTTGGAGGTCGTCGCTAAAGGCGAAAGGATGAAACGAAATGTAATCTTGGGAAGAAGAAGAAAAAAAAGGAAAACGTCGAAACTTACGTCGGCGCTGTCTCCACCGCCGATCAACGGGACCCCGGATTTACGAAGAACAAATCAAGTAGAAGCTACTTGCGTGACGCGTATCTTTTAGATGTAGCGATACGTATGTATATAAAAAAATTAGGAATCGTTTTATTGTTGCCTACGTCGGAGTACCTCTCATTCTCTTTGTCTCTCTCGTTTTGTCATTCTCTTTCGCTCTCTCGCTCTTTGTGTTGCGTTAGTAACGAGGAAAGTAAACGAATCCTCCTTGCCTCTCAAGGACGATTCGTCGAAATAGATGTACATTCCTTCTGCGGGAGTGGTGGAGAGGGTGAGCAGGTGGAGGGCAGGGGAGGATCGATTTGGCAGTAGTATCTCACAATGATCTCCCGTAACTATCGTGATGATTATCTTCATGTCTAGAGATCTTGTTTACAGGGCGGTGCTTTCTCGACGGGGTGATCGCGGGGTGAGAGGAGGTATATGATAGTTTTTCTCCTTCTGCTTTGTAGTGATGGTGGTGGTGGTGGTGGTCGTGGCGGAGATGGTCAATGCTTCCGCGAACCGCTCGTACGATCAGACAGGAATAGCCGCTCGCCTGCATTATTGAGAGGACCCCGAGCGCGTAGGGTCGCCGGCGGAGATATAGTCTCGAAAGTTTACGTCGGCTAACAAAAGTTCTGGTAACGAGTTTGGAATTATTTCGAGCGTCTCTCCTTCGAGGAGAGTCTCACGGCAACCGATGCCGATTGATGAAATTTTCAGGTCTCTCCCCTTTTCTGTCTCTTTCTCTTTTTCTCTCTCCCTCTTTTTTGTTCACGAGAGTTATTTCGGTAACAGTACGTTGTCCATTGAATGAATTTATTAATGTAACGTCTTTTTCGTGTTTTCGACAGAATCGCGAAATAAGAAGACGGCCGAACGCTGATGCGCGAGAGCCGATCGGGAAACTCTGACCGGTTTGTTGGTCCAGCAGAAGCCGGACGGGAGAAGCCGGGCGTTCTTGTTCCGTGTGTTACCTCGGCGACGATAGTTACACTCGACTGTGACATACTACCAGCATGTAGAGAGCTCGAGCGCGTTACCTTCACATGAGGAAAGAAAATGATACACGACGATGTGTTTCTGGTGTAATCGATGACGCGATCGATATACGTCCTCATCCGGGAGAGAAGAACGTCTGCATGCGTGTGTGTATATGCGGCATATGTAAGATACTCTTACGGCTAGAAATAAATCTACAAAAGTAGTTTCACCGACCATGCGAGGACGGAAAGACACACGTAAGACGCGCATCCGCTACTCGAGGACGAGAGTTCGAGGGTCTCGCAACGTAACGAGCAACTCGCGACTTTAACCTCGGACGCGCACGCGCTCGCGAATACGGCGTAAGCTTGCGGAGGATAACGTGGTCTATAAAAAGACGAGCAAGAGGAAAAGAGAGAGAGAGAGAGAGAGAGAGAGAGAGAGAGAGAGAGAGAGAGAGAGAGAGTAAAGAAAGTATCTTCTATAGTCATTTAAAATTAGCACATGCACCTACAATCCGCGACTGACGTCGACGATGACGAAATTAGTATGACTTGCGCTATTAGTATTACGTGACGCAAATAGAACGTGCTTTCTCGACCGTATTTCGTCGCGCGTTCACGAGTTGCTCGTCACATTCGGTTCAAAGGTTCGTACTGCGTGAAGCCGTCGTCTCTGAACGATATGGCGAGCACGAGAGTGCCCACGTTGGCTCAACATTGGGGTCGATGATAAAGATCCGTATGAAAGGAAAGAAACAGGAACGATACTGAGGGACAACTCGTACACGCGATGTCAACGTCGACGCGCTAACGTTCGCGTGCCGCTCGCCGTATTCGCGGAGCCGGAGACTTCGTCGCCTCGCCTCGATCCCCCTCGAGTCACGACTCGCGCCTCACAAAACGGAGATACTCCCTACTATCATATATGTTTTGATTTGGTCTTTCGCTTGTAGTACATAGTACCACCGTGATATCGATTCGCGAACGCTTGGTCTCAATGTTTCTTTACCGTTCAACGTCTGTCGTCGCGGTCTTCCACGATATTGTTGTTGTCGTCGAAGCGCGCACCGCCAATAAATCGGATGAAGGGAGTGGCAGACTATATAGAGAATGAGGCGATAACAATTGCGACCTTGAACATGTTCGAAATAATGAGAATAGGAAGAATGTATCCAGCTGAAATTACATGGTACAAAAGCGGCGCGTCTTATGGCGGTACCACTTTTTTCTAAGTGGAGCAGCTTCAAAAATCTGAAGTGACGACTATTGGTATCAATGAAAATTTCTGTTGGATAAGTTAGAATAATTTCCGTTAGACAAAGATTCCTACCCTCATATCTCGAAGATATTCAAGATAGTAATAGTTATTATTGCCTCACCTTGTATAAAGGCAAGCTATGCGGTGCTTTCCGAAACCCTGTCGCCGATCGCGTCGACGCACGACAACATATCCTCGCGTGTCCGCCGCATACGTTGGACTCACGCCAGCCAGTAGCTCGCAATATGTCTATGTATGTCTGTCTGTCTGTCTGTCTGTCTGTCCGTCGGTCCGTCCGTCCGTCCGTCCGTCCGTCCGTCCGTCTGTCCATCTATCTATCTATCTATCTATCTGTCTACCTCATTGTGTATAGTATGTGTGTCTTCGCGCGTATGTGTCTCTTCTTGTATAATTACTCTCTTAGAAAAGAAACCGAAACGCCTGATAGGAGAATGTAACGTCTCGTCGCTTATTTGTATAGCGGTATGTCGGCGCGCCGGTTGCTCCTGTACAGGAAACGGTTCGAGGTGTTTCGCCACCATCTCCATAGTCAGGTGCGTCTGCTCTGACCGCCCGCGGTGACGCCCGCGGCCGGGCTCGCACCGTTCGACAGCAGCAATCTGCGGTTGAACTCACGCATCTCGTAGTTATTGTTGCCGTTACTCTTCTCGCGGCCCGCTGCCGCCGTGCAGTTGTGGTTCGCCGAGGTCGGCGTCGTCTCCTCGAGTATGAGGGCGCAGTGGCTGTTTGTGTCGCTGTCGGCGCCGCCGTCCTGCAAGTTGTTCGCCAGCAACGGATGCCGGCCGGTGTTGCACTCGTCTGACTGTAGCAACAGCGACGCGTTGCCTGAAAACGAAGAGAGAGAAAAGCGCGACAGTCGAAGAATAGTCGTTATTCTCGTCAGTGCTTTAAATAAATAATTAATATTTGTCTGTAAGACAAAAATCGAAGTATCAAGAATACAATGAGAACCAAATTGCTCACGTTAGGAGCATGTATTTTTAACGCAAATTTTATTTACGTATACGCAACAAAATTTTTGTTGAAAATAAGTGCATTCAACATCAGCAATCTGACACTCTTGTCTTTGCATTCTCGTGTACTTCGATTTTTGTCTGTTCTTATCCATTATAGTTAACAGCAATTCTCGATTCTTCCGTTCGTGCTCGCTGAGAGCGACTGATGAATTAGTTAATCTATTGATTCCATTGATTTATTCAATAATCTATTAATTAATTAGTATGTAACAACGGCGCCGACGTCTCGGTTAACCGAGGTGACAGCGGCGGTTATCGCTGATTATTATTACCGGAAGGTGTGACCGCGTTAGGCAGGGTAGTGCGCCTGACGATGCTGCCGTTGTTGGCCGTCGTCTCCGGTAGCACCTGCGAGAACGGTGGCTGAGCGAAGGTCGCAGCCGGCGGCGGCGGCTCCCGCAGCATTCGTATTTTCTGTATCATCTCTCGTATTTCGTAGCGCAGTATGCCGAGGAAGCATAGCTTGGCGAAGGCGATTACGCAGAAGCCCAGCACGAACAATAGGTCTGCGGTTTTCCTGAGCCAGCGCACCAGCGACTCCTCGCAGCCGCGTCCGTATGGCTGCGGGCAAGTCTCGCTGACGTTCATGCTGACCGCGCAGCAGGTCTGCGGCCAGCGCGAACCGAAGTCCCGGGGCCCGGTCACGCCGCAGCACATGAACTCCCGCTGCAGTCGGTCCCATTGCTCGCTGAACCGCGGCTCTTTACCGTAATCCACCTGCGAACGTGAATGAGGAATTCATAGTTTTCGTGAGCCACGATACACGATTTTGATGAGTACGCGTACTGAATTCGAAGACTGCGAATCTAGACGTCGTGTGCAAACAAGAGGACAATCTGGCAATTTAGAGATTAAATCCACGAGAATTAGAATCACGATACATTTCTGTTGTTGTACTACATAGTCGACGAGAATGAATATGGAAATATTAATTGTAAGGTCTAAAGATCGAAAGATTGGGAGATTGAATCGCCCATGTATCGCAATTCTTCAGTTCCGTCACTTATTTGAATTTTCCCAGACCGAGTTCCAGGATACTCGACGCGGTAGCACATATCGTAGCTTTCGATACTTCGAGTAAGCTAAGAAAATGAAGAAAAAAGAAGGGATGATGGAAAAGAAAAAAAAGTGATGAGAAGGAGAGAGCTACTGAAACGAAAGGCGCACCTGCAAGCGTAGCCTGAGCGTGGGCCTGAGCTCGGCGCGCATTCTGTCGAACCGGAAGATCCAGGCGACGCCGATAATAGCGTCGCCGAAGAGCAACGCTAGCAGCAGTATCCAGTAGGCGTTGAGCATACGAACGCTGAGTCGCCTGGCGGCGATGCAGCCGAGGAGCTGCACCAGACCTAGCTGCGCGGCCAAGGCGACGTAGGCGTAGAGTGTGGTGAAGTCGAAGGCGCGCGGCACACCCGGCACCACGTGCCGACGCGGGTCGCCGGTGAACAAGAGGGTTTGCGACACCGCAGCGGCGAAGCCGACCGCGCTACCGAGCAGCACCAGGTTACAGGCGTAGATCCAGAGGCGGTAATATCGCATCGCGACGTCCTGACCACCGTCGGCGAGTCGTTGGGACGTCACCGACGACGGCGCCTCGTCGGCGACGTGATCGCAGCTGCTGCTCCTCCGTGAGCCCCTCTTGAAGACGTTATTATTGTTATTGATATTATTATTGTTATTATTATTGTTGTTGTTATTGTTATTGTTGTTATTTGTAGTGGTCGTGGTGTCGGTGTCGGTGGAGTGCCGATGCTCCTGACAGTCGTCCAGCAGAAAGAGAAAGGGCGGCTTCGCGCTGCAGTCCTTCGTCGCTGTCTTTTGGCTGTGCGTCGACTGCGGGGTGAGTGAACGTTGCAGCAGCATCACCGTCATACTATCGTGCCACCCTGGTGTGCGTTTCCTCGTCGTTTAAGGATTGTACCCCCAGGTATGTGGGGGGCCGCCGTTGCCGAGTGGGAGAGACAGGCCAGCGCGTTGCACCGCTGGTGTGTGTATGTAGTGGTGGTGGTGGTGGTGGTGCTGCTCGGCGGCCGCCGCGATCTAGTACGTACGTCCAGGGGGGAGGAGAGTGGTGACGGCGTCGATTCTACTGTTGTGTGCGCCTATTGAGCCTACCGGCGGCGAGTCACGCGATGTACGACGTGCACCGCCGCACCGGAAGATCGTTCGCGTTGGCGTTCATGGTACTCCACCTCCCCCTTTCTTCTTTTTCTTTTTTACGTATGTCGCGTTTGCCTCCGTGGTGGTGGTGGTGGTGGTGGTGGTGGCACCGAATGCTGCGATGTCTATGTCCGCGTCGTCCGCGCCGGTGTCCACGTAACAACCGTGGATCGTCCTGCGGGAATATACGAAACTGTGATTTTTCTCGCAGGCGTTTCTTTCCCGCTTGCCCCCCGTTGTCCTCGTAGAATCTATTTATTACTGCGTGCGCCTTCCTCTTCGCCACCCCGCCCCGAAATGTACAGTCGATTTACGGTTTCTTTTCGCTTTCTAGGACGAAATCTTTCCTCCTCTCTCTATCTTTCGACCTTCGATTTTCGATTCTTGGATCGTTCGCTTTCGTCACCACCGCGCAAGTGACGCGAAAATTGCTTTAACGGGGACACACGGCGCGGGAGTAACCGTTCCTCAACGTGCGTGCATTTCGAGCCGGGGGAGAACAGCGGCGGGGGAGGCTAGCTTAGCGTGCGCGTCTCGGCGAATTGTATTTCTTTCTGACAGTTGTAGCGTGTGATAGGCGATTCTATCTATCGATCCTCCCGCAAGCCTAGCTCTATGTAGCTCCTCCGAGGAGGGACGGAGATAAATCGCGCGAGATAGAGAGAGGATATGCGCCTAGATATATCGCCACGAGGAGAGTCACCGGCTCACGGGGAGGGAGGACGAGAAGAAAGAAAATCGGAGTGTGCGTGCGACGCGCGTCGTACACAAGAAAGAACAATCGACGTGCAATCACGGGGAGAAGGAGGAAGAAGCACAAGAGAAAAAGAGAAAGATATAATCTACTGTACTTCATACAGACAGAAGGAGCAAGAAGAAGCAAAGTATAAACGCAAAGTTATTGTTTCAGGCGAGCGGACGAGACAATGGCACTCGAGAAGACGAGAGGAAGAGCTCTCGGCGGTGAGATCCTCAGGACGTGTTTCGCGGCGAGGACGGTGCGCATCACCGAGGATTCAGTTCGCTCTTTTGCGATGCACCAAAACGCGCTCCCGTTTCCATGCATCGGCACACGGCGCGTTGCATGCGGGCCGCGAGTATATGCGAGTGGCGCATTGTAACGAAAACACGGAAGAGCGACGAGAGGTAAGGGCCCATCGATCGTGTTTAAACCCTGCGCGCTGGCACGCGCTCTTTACACCGCACACACGCGACGAACAAGCGAGAGTAGAGACACGGGGAATGAGACAGAGAATGACAGAGAGAGAGAGAGAGGGGAGGGAAGCAAAGAGAAACATAGAGAGAGATAGAGAGGGCGTGTGAGAGAGAAAGAGAGAGAGAGAGAGGGGAAGGCAGCCGGACACAACGCGTGGTTACCTCCTTTCGCGTTTTCTCCTACGTAGAAACAATTTTCATCGACGGGCGAGCTGTCAACGTCCTGGCCGGCGTCCAGTACTGCCTATTTTACATAATTCCGCGGTGGAAGAAAAAGGGACTAAGAGACGGATCGATGCCGAAGCAGCGATGATGCCGCGTGTGCGATCTCTTGCCTCGACTCGCCGCCGGACTCGCCGTGGGCTCTCGAAGCCGCGCGCTGATCTACGGCTGCGCCTTCTGCGCTGCGAACGGGCAGGCGTCGAGCGCGATAAAAAAAGATTATCGAGTAGCCTTTAATTAGATATCGAGTGACATGTCGATCGAGCAAGAGGCGCGAAAAGATAGAGAGAAAAAGGACGACGAAGAGGAGGCGCGAGAGCGCGCGCGCATGCTAAAGCGAGAGAAGGGGTGAGCGGAGAAGAAGAGCAGGAGGAGGAGGAGAATGAGCAGGCGACAGCGGCGGTGGTGGAGGGTTGGAAAGTGGCAATGGTTATAGTGAGAGATGGAGCGCCGTGTTATGCAATAACACGGCGCTCCATTTCCTGCTGAAGGAATTTATTGTCGCTCGTCTTCGTCCTATTTTCACCGCATGCAACATCAACGAGGAATGTCGCATGTACCGGAAAGAACGCGCCACTCGACCTCGTCCTTCAACGAGGCACTGCCGCCACGTAGTACGACACTATCGCGTAGAATTGAGCCGATCGCGCTCGTCCGTCGTTCCTCGCATCCTCGAGGATGCAACGACACCCCCGCTTCGTCATCCCCGCACGACACATCTTAAGACGAGACTCTGCGACCGCGTCCGCGACGAACGCGGCCCGCGGTCTCTTCATGACACAGCTGCTCTTCTGCCGTCAATCACGCAAGATTACAGCTATCCCGTCGACAAGAACACGTTATGAAAAGGACAAAACGTCGCGCACTGATCCGATTATTCGATGACCGTGAGGCACCGCAAATTCAGGATCCCACGCGCGAAACCAAGGACACGCATAATGTCTGAAGGCGAGTTCTTGTCTCCGAGAGGAGGCTCTCTCTCTCTCTCTCTTTTTCTCTCAACCGCGAGAAAAGTTCTCGAATCCTTATCTCGCGAAAGCGAGCTCTTGTCACTTAGGGAACTCGTCTCCTTTGAATGAAGAGGAGAATAAGGGAAAAGATCCTTATCTTCGAAGACAGTCCTTTTCGAGGAAAACGTCCTCTGAAAATCGATAGGGATCTGATTTTCGTCCTAGTTACTCTTGACGAAGGAACGCGAGCGGCTGACAATTTCGCGCGAAGGTCCGCGCGAAGGCTACCATTTGGTAGACCGCGCGGCGTCTCGTTGCTACTGACCTCGGGCGCCTTCTACGACGCGTATTCACATCGTCGATCGACCTACGTGCAGCACGTAGCGGGGGCGTGATCGTTCACCGGGTTTGTTAAGTTCTCCGTGCCGCGACCGGGCGTCGTCAATCGGGCCGACCGTACGGCGGTCGAGGCGTACACGAGGAACGGAATCGTCGTGGCGGTCGTCGTCGTTGCAGCCTTGGCACTTCCTCTATGAGCATCGCCGCGAGAGTAATCCTCGACGCCGTCGTTCACGTCGTTCATGCCACTCGTTGATCACCCGTCGCACCGTCCCTTCGTCATGCGTCCTCTCCCGTTAATACCTTTCAGCAGCACTTTAGCACGTCCGGGAGTGCGACTCTTCGTCGCACGTCTTCAATTCCGTAGCCGGCGCTCACGGTATCCCCGTTGATAATCTCTTCGTCTTCGTCCTCGTCTCCGTTCTCCTCCTCGTCTTGGTCCGCGTCCTCCTCGTGTTTCTGCTCGTCTTTCTGCTTACAGTCGACACCTCGCAAGGCTGCCGCCAGTAGCCGTGGCGCATGTCGCTACACGACGACGCTTCTCGCCTCGCTTCGCGGAGCGGCGCGACGCGACGCGACGCGCTTCCCACTGCCACAGATCACACAGAGTTGAGAGCTCGTGCGCGCGACCGAGCGTCGCGGCGACGACGCCGCCGCGGCCACGCTGCTACCCGACGCTCCTCCTCACCCTGAATGCCCGGCGCATGAGACAATGATATTGTAAGTCGCGACGGAATACGCTCGACTCTCTCTCTCTCTCTGTTCCCTTTTCTCTGTCTTTCTTTCTTCCCTTCCTACGTTTCTCACTCTCTTATCGTCCGCTCTCTTTATTTATCTAGCAGAAGACGGACACGGTGCCGAGGGGATGACTATAAGCCAGAGGGTAGCCGTGAACAGCGCCCGAGGTAGGCAACCGGACTGGCGACGGACAACGGCGTGAGGATCGGGGAGGCGCTGCGAAAAACGCTGATAGAAGAGCGCAAGGGCGGAGCGTCGAGGTGGCGAAGTTGCCCCTAACGGTCTACGATACTTTCTTCTACTGCTTTTTTATTATTTCTCTTATAGGTCTCCAGAGAGGGTACTCGTTATTATTTTATCGCGCGAAAGATCAACCAAAATGTTCTCTTTAAGGAAGTTTATCGCCGCCGTTGAGCCACCTGAAACGGTATCATTTCGCATCCTTATAGGAATGTTTCTTTTATCTTATACTGTTACATGTACTCCAAACGAATTGCATTTTACTGTTTGAAATTAACGACGATACGATATCGTTATCTGGAGGTAATGAACTTGATCAACGAGCACCTCACGTTCAGGGTGCTCAGAGATCTGTCCACAGCTGAGCGCACGAAAGTAGAAAGTTAGGGTAGAAATAGTAGAGATAAGAGCGTTCGGCCGTATGTTATTGTCAAATACAGTGAAAGTATAAGAAAGAGAGACAGAGAGAGAGAGAGAAAGAAAGAGAAAGAACCATGTAATATCTAATCTAATGTCACTGGAAATAATACAGTCTATATATTAGCAAATAGATAGTAGATAAGAATGGAATGAAGGGACAAACTCTGTCTTGGTTTGACTATCGCAAGCAGACAGATCTTCGTCTACTCGTTTTAAGTACCCTTAGCCACGTGACCTCTGGAGCGAATGCCCGAGGTATAATTGAATCGTTACAACGACAGAACAAAAACGGCGTCACGCCGCGGCAAGAACCTCTCTCGCGTCGAGAGACACACATTTTCTCAAGAGTGCACTCTTGCTCTTCTTACTTCCCCGTAGGCTCTCTCTGAGGCCGTGCGAGATTTTTGTGTTCCTTATTCTCGAGATGTAGCGTGGTTTGCCACATAAATCCAAATATAATTGATCTATCGACAATCAAGAAAAAGATTTATCGATGATCTATCGACGATCTTGTACATTTAAATATATTTGAGTGAGTGAGAGAGAGGGGAGGGAGAGAGAGAAAGAGAGAGAGAGAGAGAGAGAGAGAGAGAGAGAGAAATATCAAATTGATCCAGAAGCTTTTTTCCGTACATTAAACATTTCATTTGTCAACGTTTTCCTGTTTTAAGATATTTAATTTCACATTTATCAGCATATTTCTATTTAGAAATATTTCATTTCATTTACCGATATATTTCCATTTGAAAACATGTCGTTTCATTTATCGGCATATTTTTAATTGAAAACGTTTCATTTATTTTATTTATCGGCATATTTCTATGCGAAGATTGCTTTGTTCATATCGACACTTGTTCAATGTTCATGAGAAAAAACTTCCGTATTAATCTGATAGTTACTTGTTGCAGAACGACGGCGGAACGTACAACGGGCAAACCAGACGTAATTGCGGGGGAGTCGGCCGGAACGTCGCCGAGGCGCTGATTAAGCTCGGCTTGGCAAACACGCGATTTATATCCGTCGTGGGTGACGATGAGCACGGAAAAACGATAATCGATAGCCTGGGAACCGGAGCAGAGACGCTGAAACGACTACCGGACGTAAACACTGCGAAGTAGGAATTCTATTTTGTAGAATTTCGAGGATCAGGTTCACCGGAAATTCTAAATACTCGTTTGCATCGCATAGGTTCACGGTGATACTAAATGGCAAAGGGGAGTGTATCTTCTGTATCAGCGAGATTGAATCCTTCGAAGCGATCGTGCCGGAGCTGATACGAGAATGCCGCTCGCACCTAGAAGAAGCTAGTCTCCTTGTCCTCGATGCCAATCTTCCGATTGACACCATGCGTTACGTGCTAGACGTCGCGTCGGAAGCCAACGTGCCAGGTAAGTAAAAGAGTGTCCCCGCAATAATTTACCGCTGCTCAACTCTTTCCATGAAAAAGAGGTATTTATTTGTTCGTTAATATTCTATATTTTTATCGTGAGTTAAGTGATGTAGTACTGACTATTTTTTATAATACTTTTATAGAGAATATATATAAATTACGCGTGTGATCTAGGTACTTGTACGCAACAATTTGAACGGAATGTTTAGCGCAAGTAAATCAGCGTAAAAAAAAGAATATATCTAAATAAAAAAATCTCAATGTGTTTAATCGTGATTGAATTTGTCAAAGAGAGAGATTCATCGTTTACGTCGTCTCTTCATAAGATTTATACATAAATTACGCGTGATATAAGTTCTCATAGAATATATATATATATATATATATATATATATATATATATATATATAAATTATGCGTCATCTAAATGTTTGAATGCAACAATATGGATAGGTAGTGTTTAGCGTAAACAAGTCAACGTAAATATAAATATTGATAAAAGAAGAATATACCTGAATAAAAACGAGAATTTGAATAACGCACGTTCAATCGCGACCGAATCTATCAGATTCTTCTGTTACGTCGTCTTTATAGAATTCTTTTGTAGAAAAAATTACAAGATCAAATTGGACGGATCAAACTTGTACTTGGTTTCATGCCTCTCTATCAAGAGACTGGTCTGTCTTTCACTCGTTTGACAGAACCGAAACATCCACGCGGAAACTGAGTTGGCAGACTTGTTTCCACGGAAACACGCTTCTAATTTATACATATCCGCTACGCGACGACGGTGCGTGATGAGACTGCGAATTTGGTTGCATCTGCATGACGAGATTGCGCGACTCCTTGCGCAATTTGTAACCTGTCCGTGCGTCCAGGTAGAGGAAGAACGCGCCTAACGTGTGGAACATGAACGATATTACTGCGAGACCATACGACCACGACAGATGGTTAAAGTTCGGATACATCAGCCAGTCGCGACGCCAGCATTGCCCGCCGAATATCGATACTGCCAAGAAGAGCAAGCCACCTGAAATTAAACAGTGCACAATCATTAAGAGAGATCTAATTTTTATATAATCAAGAATTCCGCAGCTTTATTTCTCTCTCTTCCTTCTTTTCAAGTTCGCTTACCAGCAACTGCATTGCACAGGAAAGCAACAGATGAGAGAATCCACTCGTAACGTAGAACGAATTGCAATGGCCAACGTATGAGTATCATGACTATTGTGATCTGCGCGAAGAAAGACAACAATAAGGCCAGTGTGACGAATGCTTGCACGATCATGAGCCACATAGGCAACAGCCACTCCCGTATGACGTAGTACTCATGTGAAAAGACATGGTGACAACCATCAAATTGCTTGTCAAATTGGTAAGATGGGTAACGGAACTGTTCGAAGCAATATTCCCAGAGACCCATGTGTTTAAAGTTGCTGAACGTCTCCTGATATGACTCGATCCAATATGGACTGGAAACAAGCAGAATGTGAGAGAGGAAGAGATCAAAGATGTGCACATGCAAGACAGGAATACAGTATAACAAATGAGGTTGTCATTTAATTCTGGAAATGAATTTTGTACCTTGTGAAGGCCATCACTAAGAACACTCCAGCCACATATGTCAGCACTCCACCAAATACAACGGCATCTGTCAATGAGAATAAAGATAATTTAGATGATTAAAATAGCAAGAAGGAAAATATATATAATAATATACATAGCAAGAAGGAAAATAGTATATAGAAAAAAATAAAACATGATAAGAAAAAAATAACATTACAGTTATCACAAATGAATAAATCTTCTAGTATCTTGATTAAATAGCTTAAAAACAATTGTAAGTTATAATCACTTAACCAGTTAGCTGTGTTGCCCTCTTCTAAAAGTGTGTACCTAAATTGTGTTGCATGATGAGTATACTCGTCATAACGCTAAAAATTGCCATTTCTTCATGACTAGTATACTCATCATACACAGCTAATTGATTAATTGCTTGAAAAGAAATAGCAAAATAGCAAAACAGAATGAAGAGAAAAGAAACGGCAGTGTAAACAGCACAGGAGACCGCGTATTGTGTACGTAATTTTACAATCAATATAGGTTACAAAGTAATCGTGTCTGCGATCGATGCTTGTTTAATTACTCACTGGACGCCTTGTGGTACTCTTGTTTGTCCACCGACATGGTGAACTCTGGAGAAAACTTGCGTAAAACCAGCTACCTTGAACAATTCGTTCGTCGATTGTTTTCGTTAGTCACCACGCTACTCCATTAAGACTTCGCCACACCTTGCATTGCGCCATTGCTGCCAAGTGCGCCGAGAGATGGCAGGTGTTGGCACACACATCACCGACAATCGGTAATGGAATTCCCCAAATTTACTGACCGTTCGGTGCATTCAAACGCACAAGAGAACTTTGAATTGCGTGTCAACCGACAAAAGACGTTTGAAAACTGTCTCCTTTGTGTGAAAATGGGCGAGATTTACAAGATACGAAACGTCAGAAAAGTTGCATATTTTATTTCGTAGTAAAGAGAGGACGGAGTACAAAATTTACCTTAACTTTAAACGGCTTCGTCATAGATAGAGCCAAGCAATTATGTACGAGCTTGAAAAATATATATGGCTACGTGATAAACGCTGGTTGCGTGATAAACGTTTGTCTTGTGCATAAAATTTCATACATATACACACACAGAACGTTCGGTGATCGAATCAGGACAATGATTCGGCACGAGGAAACACGAGCAGAAAGTGTAGAAAAAAATTGTAAGCCGGAAAATTAAATCGCTCGAGCAATTTGAAGATCGAGGTCGCAGTACAGAAGGTCCACGACATTCTTCAAATGATAAAAGTTCCAAGTCTAATTCGACATCACGTTTCGTTTCAGCCGAAGTCGCTTATTACAATATCAATTGTACACTCTGTACAAATATGTCATTAGAAATGTGTCGACACGTTGATTACAGTTGCTGAGACGTTGAAATAAAGTGCACGACATTGTGTTAGTGCTATTCAGGTTCGCAGAACAACACTCCGCGTGTGGAAGTCCGAAATTGTGGCTGAAAGGAAACGATGGAAATTACATCACTCACGAAGGATCCAAGAAATCGTCCGGTAACGACAGCACATCCTGTGTGTATACACTTACATATAGGCAGTGTGTGTACGTCTGTATACAAGCTATCTGTAAGCTGCAGTGTCTTATACCTCGCGTACATGTAGATCAGGTGAAACTGAGTACAAAATTTCTCTACCATTTCTATGTGATTGTTTGCAAAATGGTAGAGAAATTTCTCGTTCAGTATGACCTGATCTACACGTACACGAAAGTTTTATATATGTTTATCATCAGATATCCTATATATATCCTGTTTGTGACAATACTATCGTACAATAAAATCATCTTACATATACATGATATTGTCCGAGAATAATCTTTCTCGGGGGGAGAGATATATAAAATATACAAAAATATGAAACTTACGCATTTAACTTAAGTCTTAAATTAATGCAGATCCGATTTTGTACATTCTACATAGATAGTTCTGCGAGAAAGTCGCACCTCGTGGACGGAATGGTACTACAGACTGTCAGTTAACGATACTCGCGAGTTCATCAGGTGCGAGACTCGAGCTGAAATCGCGTCTGCGATTCCTTCAGGTAGTTGCGTTTCTTTCGTTGTATATTCGCCTCCACCAAGAAGAGGCTGCTCGCGATCAGCGTCAACACGCTGCCGATGACGCCCAAAGCGAACGACCATCCCAGGTAATTGTTGGTGTGCCCAGGCATCCATCCGTCAGCGTTACCGAGACAAGCGAACACGATGACGGCGAGGCTGCCGCTGAGACCACTCACCAGTGTCAAGTAACCGATGGTGGTTATTAACTCGATGTATCTCTTACGTTCAGGGTCGCAGCACAACGTAAACAGCAAAATGAGACAGAATGATATCATAGCCAGAAGAAAGCACACCGTGAAGAACACTTGAGTGGCTACCATGAACGCTGCAATGAGAAGTCTCATGTTATTGGTGTACTTACAAAGTGACTCCAAGTACAGTTGTTTAAATAAAGGCTGCGACACTTTTTTGTGGACAAATTTATAAATACATGCATGTGAATTTCTGTGCACGAGTTTGAGCATTCAGAGATTTGAGAGCAACCAAATTTTTTCATACAGACTTTTATTCTAAACTCTCTTGTCGATAAAAATGCATGTGACTTACAAGTTTTCTGATTACTTTACAAGTATGTTCAATCCCAATTTCTTATTAAAAGTTTCAACTTAGATTTATGTTTAAACTATTCAAACACATTAAATTCATTGTTAAAACAAAGTTTAAATCATTATTTAAAAATCAGCCTTTAGAGATAATTTTATTAACACGAAAGAGTTCAAAGTAATCCTGCTTAAAATAATGGGATTGCATCACGTTCGGTTTAAATTTCAATGCAAAGCATTCAATATCTTACTGATTCACATTGATTTAGATTGAAATTTGGATTATAGCTTATGTAATGTTGTAGTTTTGTGTCCATCGTTTTAAACAGGCAAGATGTACAAAAGTAATTTATAAGTAGAAGTGTATAAATATAATTGTATTATATAAACTTGTCCAAAAAGTGTAACAATCTTTATGCGAACGACTGTCACCCTTTTCATCAAGAAATTCTTCAATTCTCCAATGGTAAGAAGAACTCTGACAGACCATTAACAGGTGGTTCATCATTGTTTATGAGCATTGAATTTTTTGTTCATGGACGAAATTTTGCGATTAGCGTGACGATACGCGCAAGGCTATAACCACTTGTCGATAATCTGCAGGAAGCTCTCACGACGCATCGAGGAACTTCGTTATTAAAAAGGATGATACGGAGTTCGGCGTCATATGACTCACGAGGCAATAAGAAGCCACGAATCTCGGAGTAACCCGCGGTGAATGGATCGTAAACCCATCTACAGCCAACGAAGAAGCGACGGGGCGCGTCGGACTCCTGGGGGTTCGGCAGCGACCTGAAGCAGTGCCTCCAGAGGCCGAGGCGATCGAGCTGCGCGTTGGTGATTCGCGGGTCGCTTACCAGCCATGCAGGCGTCCCGAACGCGACGCACACGCACAAAAATCCCACCAGGAACATGCCGACGCCTACGTTGCCCGATAGGCTTCTCTTCTTCATATTGTTGGTCGCCAGTGTGCCGTTGTTCGTTACGTTTTAAGAGATCAGACTAAGATACCAACACTCGGTCTGTCCGTTCGTTTGTCTGTCTGTCTGTCTGTCGGTCTGTCCGTCCGTCTACTTAGCCGTCTGGACACGAAACTAGTCTCATAAAACGCGGTCCCACCTGACGATCCCACGGCACAGATACCACACCCAAACGTCTCGTGTTATTGGCGGAGCGCGCAACCGAATCCAACCTAACCTAACCTCGTGGCACGCGTGAGTATCCCACGAGTAGAAGAGTCCCAAGCGTAATAAGTCGTGGTCCACGCCAGGTGCGTCAACACGCGGGCCCCACTATAGGAGGGACTTTCTTGAGTCAGATCCGACGAAGAAGACAGAGAATCTCGTCACGGGATACTTACGAATGTGTGAGAAAGTCTGATTTATATACAATGAAATGCAGGGTGGGAAAAGAAAGCTTTTGATGGTTACACAGCGTACACGCAAGTGTAAGGAAATTCCGTGAAATCTGTCGATTTTATAGCGCTTAAACGATTTTGCGAATAGATGTTGAAGTCCGCGACATCCGAAGATCTAGGAGTCAATCTTGTGAATCTTTTATCCTCCGCGTGAACTCGTGAAAATTGAAAAACTTAACGTGGAAATATATAAGTATATTCACTTGTCGCGAGTTTATATTAGAGGAAAAGATTTATGATCGCTTGCAAGTGCTGCAAAATTGTTCATTTTTCACGATATCATACTAGGGGGGGGGGGGGA